CCCTGGATCGAGGCTCTCCCCGCTGGGCAAAACGCGGCGACGCAAACCCAAAGCGACTTGCCTAGAAATTCCATTCACCCCCCCCCAAATAAAAATCCCTGTAAATCACGGAGAGGAAAAGGAGGAGGAGGGGGCGAAGGGGAAGCCAAGCAAGGCCAGCAGAGAGTAGAGGCGCTGGCCCTCCTGGGTGCCTCCTCCTCCTCCTCCGCACAAGGAGGAGGCCCGGCGCAAAAAAAAAAGGGGGGGGGCAGCCTCCGCATCCAGGAGGTGGAGAAAAAGGCGGAGGATTCTTCGGGAGGAAGAAAGCGCGGTGCGCGAGCGCCCTCCCCTCCTTCTTGGCCAAGCCCAGGGAAAGGAAAGGAGCGGCGGGGGAAGAGCGTTCCGGTTGGCTTTTGTTGGGTGGGTTTGTTTGTTTGGGTCCGCGCGGGCTTTCCTGCACAGGTTTGACCTTCAGTCCCCGGGCTTCATCTCCGATTCTCGCCCCCCCCCGCCTCCTCTCTCTTGCTCCAGCTGGGCGGGAGGAGCCCCGCCGCCTTGGCTCCCCAAGCTTCTTTGCGAGGATTGCTGCTCTCTCTCTCTTTTCCTCTTCTTGCTTTCTCTCTTCCCCCCTCCTCCTTTTGCGACCGGAGGCGAGGAGACCTGGTGAAGACGAAGGCGACGGGAGGGAAGAATCGCGCCCGAGAGAGAGAGAGGAAGGAAAAAAAAGTCATTTATCTCATTTTTTAATTTTTTTTTGGTGGAGGAGGAAAGAAAAAGAAAACAACGGCGCCCTGCAAAGGATTCTCCAAAAAGGCCTGGGCCTCCGCCGGATTGTGTAGGATCGCTTCCCTGCTGCTCGGGAGGGCGCGCAAGGCAAGGAGCTGCTGCTGCTGCGGGGGACCCGTCTCGATTGCCTTTGGAGGGTCCGCGTGGAGTCGCGGGGCTTCTCCTTGCGTCCTCGAACCCAGCCTTTCCCCCCTCCCGTTCCTCTTCCCTTTTGGAAGGAGCCTGGGAAAAGGGGAGGGGGAGCGAGGAGGTGGGGTGGGGGAAGCCTCTCGGCCTTCCTCCCTCGCTCTTCATTCATTTTGATTCCGCATTTTGCTTCTCTCTCTCCAGCTCCCAAGCCCCAAAGGGGGGAGAGAGAGGGGGGGGGAAAGGGCTGGCAACAATAACAACAACAACAATCCGAATAATAATATTGGGGTGAGTTCTTGAAGGCAGCTTCAGAAAATTTTTTTTTTTGGCAAGAAAAAAAATATACATCTCAGGCACCTCCAAAAATCTACATTTTAGCTTGGCTTTTTGGAACGTCTGACTTTGAAAACCGGGATGTAAGAAGAGGCATTATCGTTCTTATCAAGACGAAGAATACGTTTTCGGGCGCCGATTGCGCGCCGCTTTGTTTATTTTTTTTTCCCCTGCGGTGCTCCGGACGCGCGCCCGCAGGATTCCCCCCTCCCGTACCTCGGGTGTTTTTATTTATTTAAGAGGAGGGAGTTGATCGAGGGTGTGTGTGTGTGTGTGTGGTGTTGTGGTGGTGGTGGGGAGAGGAGGGGGAGGGAGGAAGCGAGCGAGAAAGCCGAGCCCAGCCGAAAGGAAAGATGGAAGTCGAAGATGCGGACTGTTTGCTCCAACGTGGTGTTGTTCCCCCCTCTTGGCTCCTGCTGGAGGACGACTGCAGGCGTCGAGGCTGAGCCGAGCCCCAGCGACCTTTTTCCACCCTGCCCGACGAGGTGGCGGAGGCGGAGGAGGCGGTGGTGGAGGCGACTCCGAAGGCAAAGGGGGGGAGGCTGTTGTTTTGCAACCACCAAAACAACCTTTGGCTCTCCCTCCCTCCTCCCCCCCCCGCTCTCTCGGCTTCATCCACGGGGGGGAACCGAGAAATTGGGCTCCCAACGAGCAGAGGGGCAAAATATATATATATATCAGCCCATTTGGACTCCATAGATAGACAAGAGAGCGCTGTGTGTATTTTCCTCTTTCCAATCAAGACCTAGACCTTCTTCTCCTCCCCCCCCCTCCCCAAGCGCCACGAAAGACGCTTGGGTTTCCCCTCCCCATACTTGTTATTTACTATTCTTAATTTTTTTTTCTGGGGAGGGGGCCGAAAGAGTGGGGACTCAAACTTGAGGGGGGAGAGATTGGCTTTTTTTTTTAATTTAAAAAAGAGGAGAGGGCCCGTTTTGTTCCACATCAAGAAGAAGAAAAAAGAGGGAATGAAGTCCGGCGCTGGAGGAGGGTCCCTGACCTCATACGGGGGACTCCTGCTTGTTTTGACCACGCTTTGCCTGTGGCCAGCAAATGGAAAAGGTGAGTATTGTATTTGGGGGT